CCCCAAAACCCCAAAACCCCAGGTAGATTGATAATTTAAAAATCTGAATATATATTCTTTATGAATTATGAATTATTAAAATCAAAAAAGCAATAGTGAACTAAATAAATCATTTTTAAACAAAACCAGAATAAGTTAAATTGGTATAAGAAGAACTAGCAGCAAAATACACTATTCCAAAAGCTCCACCAATTACCCATAAAATAGCCAAATATTTTAGAGGAGATTTTATGTCAAATGTCTAATCAGCTTTGTAATATAAAATCCCAGGTAGTATTAGCATTATTAATGGTACTACCCCCGCTTGAATGAAATTTATTGACATTGTAAAATACATAGCGAATCTATACTGCTAAATGTTTTAAAAGAAGATAAAAAGCAGAGTCACAATAAAAATAGGCGATGCCAAAATAGTCGTAAAAGTGTAGAACTCTTTATTATTCAGTTTTAGATAAGGTTATCTGACTAGAATGTAGATGTCATCTCTTATTTTTTGAACCATATTCTCCGTGTAGACATCTTTCATAGAAGCATATTTTTTTAGTTCTTCTATTTTATTAGATAGTGAGCGATGCTTTAGTTCATCATATAGAATAAATGAATATTCTTTTGCCATAAAGAAGTAAAATGGGAAAACTAAGATCAAATGCAATATGGTCTAAGCAAATAAGATATTTCCACTCACACTTGAGAAAAAGAATTTCTGTGATTTTTCAAAATCATATTCAAGGATTTCATTTTATCCTTTGTCTATCTTTGAAAGCATTAGCATTATTGTTGAGAAATAAATAGCGTGAACCAAAATTGTAAAAGTTGAAATTATATTGATCTATAAATTTTAAGAGTTATTTGAAGGAAGCTTACTTTGATTGCATTTTCATTACAATTCTTTATACTAGATGTTTGCAAATACCATACATAGTAAATTTGAATTTGAAATATTAAGAAAAATCCACTTTGATTCAGAATCGGATTATAGTTATTGATCAGCTACTTAGGCATGAATATCCTTGAATCTGTCTTGTCCAATATAACGACTAGGTAGTTAATGGGGATAGTAATATTGAGAATTGTTTATGCATAACTGACAAACTATATGTTGCTTCAGGTTTATTCATCAAGATATTCATACCTTAATAGATTAAATGTCCTTGGTAAATGCAAATAGTGCAAATATCACCCCAACTTAATTTAGATTATTAATAATTTGGCTTACTTCCGAGTATTGAGATTATGTATGCTGGTTTACTTTTTAAATCAGGCTCAATCAATCCATCAAACATTATTCCAAGGTAGTCATTTAAAAACACTGATAAATCAATTTAGAAATACAACTTCTTATTCATACATAAATTTTGAATAGGTGTAAAAGCTTCATAAATAATTATCGAGAAGCTTATATATAAAATAGACGCCCTTCCACCTCCAAGGTAATATGCCATCTCTTGTAAAGATCTAAATATACATAAGAATAATAATGGAATTTAATAGGTACTTTAGTTTTGTTATTTGGTAAACTCTAAATAGAAGGTAGCAAGATATAGTTGAAACAATAAAAACTGGAAAAAATGATATGTACGCTAAATTTAATAAGATAGAACTAAAATGCTTACTCGTAAGTGGATATAGATTTACTACAAACCAAAGAAATTAGTAGTTTCCTGAAATAGCTGAATTAACCATAAACAAATACGCATCAATGAATCAGACTCTTCTTTATTTTATCACAGCCTCTATTTAAGTTTGATTCATTTATTGACTAATTACTTCCTCTCAATTTCACAACCTCAAATTAGCTCTAGATAAAAGGATCAGTAATATCTAGACTTTAATTTGTTTCATTGTCTCTTTCATTAATAGACTAAGATTGCCTATAATAATTACTTTATTCTATGTTTTCTCTTAATATTTTGATTAACTGGATATTTAAATAATTTACATACTTTTCCCTTGCACTCATTTTATCTGTTCTTTAATTATAATATTTCTGCTTTTTGTCATTGAAATGACCAATGGGGTTTTGGGGTTTTGGGG